AAAGGAAAAAAAAAAGAAAGTGCCAAAATGTTGTCATACCCTCAAACCCGTCCCTTCCCCCCCACCGTCTATCCCCCTCTCCAAGGTTTAAAAAAAATCTCCCGGGCAAATTTTAAAATAAAAATAGTTAAAAAATGAGAATTGAAATATTTTTTAATCTTTTCTAACATGGCCCCCCCCCCCCCCCCCCCCCCCAAAATATATCCCACCCGAAGAAAAAAAATCATCACTTGGGCGAATTTTTAAAATAGAAATATTTAAAAAATGATTACTTTAAAATTTTTTTTTAAGGTCTTCAGTTAACTGTCTGTTTTTACCCCCCCCCCCCCCCCTTTTCCCCCCCTAATCTATCTCCTCGCCAAGGAGGGAAGCCATCATCACGAAAATTGAAAATGTACAGTTTTGCATCCGTGTCCCCAGAGACAGATGGTCCTAATGTTAATGAGAAAAAAAGTGGCCATGAAACGCTACCATATCCCATCCATACCATATACTGCCCCACTACCCCCCAAATTTTTCAGAACAAAAAAAAAAAAACATCACTCGTCTGTGCAGGTCGTGTACCCGAGGGGTTACGCTGCGAGTCGCCATGGTTTTTTTTAGGTCTGGGTTCCAAAAAAGAAAAAAAAAAAAACTCCCTTTCCCAACCTGTGGAAACCACAGTAATAGTCCTTCTTACCCAAAAAAACGGAAAAAAAAACCCCCACCCGTCTCTTTTCCCCGAAGGACGAATGTTTAAAAGCCCTGGATCCTGTCCCCCCAAAATAAATGGGTGTAAACAGTTTAGTTAAAAATTTCCTATTAAAAGAATGTTATTATCGGGAAGCGTCGCGGGAGGAAATGGGATTTACGAAACTTATGTCTTTGGCGAAAAGGGGCAGATTAGCAGCGTGCTTAATCCCCAAAAAAATGCCAACAGCCCTTTTGGAAAAAGAAAAAAAAACACCATGGTTTTAATTAACATGGTCAAAACCCCGTCGGCGGAATCTACCCCAAATTCCTAAGCCCTGGAAGTGGGTTTCCCCCCAAACGCACCTAACTTAAAACCCCCAACACAGCATCCACCCCCTTCACAGGTTCCCTCATTAAAATCCTCCCGTTCCACTGCTGTAAAACCCCAAAACGACAAAAAATTTTTTTGATTTTCCCTCTTAACCCCCACTCCCCTTTTAAAGGAAAATTTTTTTTTTATCACCCAGCGGGCATTTTATCCCCCCAACCCCCGTAAAATGCAAAATAACAAATACCTACAAGGACCACATCTGCCCAAATTTTATCTCCCCCCTTTCCAAGATTGAAACAGTTTATTTGGGGACTGTTAAAAAAAAATTATTAAAAATGGAAAAAGTTTAAAAAAATTTTTAAGCTCCTAACGGTGATGGAACCCACAGTAATATTCCGTGATATTTAAAAAAATGTACAATATACTCACAAATAGCGGAAATAAAAACCTGCACTCGTCATCTCTCCCTGTTTGAAGTGATGATGTTTAATTGATCTTGGCATCCGTGTCGACCAAGACCAAACTGGACCGTAAGCCTTCTTAGTTAACAGAGTCTGTCATTTACAAATAGTTTTTGATCGAGTGAAGTGTTGGGGGGAGGGGGGGTGGCGGGGGCTAATGTAGACTGTACTTAAATCGGATGTCTTTGGAAGTAAGGCGCAGATGTCACAACTTAGCTGTAAACCACAACACAACGTGCCAATCGCCCTTTTGGGGTAAAAAGAAAAAGTAGTACCCAGCGGGGAATCGAAAACCCGTTATACACGTGAAGGGCGGAATACTTACAACTCTACTACCGAAGACTTTAGGTCAGATATCACAGCCTAGCTGCAAACCACAACACAACATGCCAACCACCCTCATAAGGGCGAACAAATATTACCCGTGACATGAACATTGAGCATCACGTCCCCGCTATCACAGGCTAGCTGTAAACCTCCAAATCGAACAGAAAAAAAGCGTAGGTACTGCAGCCTAGCTATAAACCACAACAAAACGTGGCAGCCACCCAGTTAGACCCCCCCCCCCCCCCCAAAAAAAATTTATATGACCCAGCGAGGAATCGAACCCCTATCACCCGAGTAAAAAAGCAAAATGCTTACAACTAACTACGCTACTGAATACTCCAGAATTTTACAGAAATAAAAGTATATAATAATAATGTGAAGGTTGGTGTTGCACAGTCAAAGGTGGCCAATTCATTAAAAATTAATCCGGGCGGGCAACGAAACAAATAATGATTTGACCATTGCTAAAGCTACGTCGCTCGTGGTTTGTGCGATGTTATGACAAAAAATAAACGCTTTGAGTAAGGGGCAACGTTGTGTGCAAATTTGAAAGCAATCAGTTCAGTAGTTTCCGAGTTTAGAGCTAATGACACCGGAAAATTAAGAATTTTATTAATATAGATTGCCTAAGTTGTTCTCCATGTTTCCGCCCCATACAAAACTACTGATTTGACATAAGAATTAACATTTTTTAGTTTAGTATTTCTTTTAACCTCCACAAATTCCTTAGTGCTATGAGAGCGCCTCTTGCCTTTTGTATTCTTATTTTAATATCTCTATCAGTCCTCCATCTTTATCAACATTACTGCCCAAATAGATGTACGACTCCATGTCTTGGAGTGGGGGTGCCATTAAGAGAAACCACACTACTATTTGCCTGATTAAAAAGTGTTCAAAGTACTATATATATATATATATATATATATATATATATATATATATATATATATATATATATATATATATATATATATATATATATATATAGTAAATCTACCTAAGTAGAGAATAATTCCAAGTATACCAGTTGTTAGTTTAACCCTCACTGCATCTGATTTCAATGAACAGAAGACCCAGTGACTGCTAAACACATAACATGCTGTTTGTAGCGTTAAAAGAAAACTCTCTCTCTCTCTCTCTCTATATATATATATATAATATATATATATATATATATATATATATATATATATATATATATATATAAAACTTTGTTTAAAAGGATAAACTGGACAGGTACTTACACACACACACACACACATATATATATATATATATAGGTTAGTACCTGTCCAGTTTATTATTTTAAACGAAGTTTTCACCAGGGACACTGATGAGTATCATTTATTTAGTACACAATAGTCCTATTTAGTCATTTCATAGTAAGTACAAAAATGTGTTTGTGTGTTGTTGTCTTTGTGTACTGATCAAGGTTAATCGCCGCAACGTCTTTTGTTTGTTCATTGTAATTGATTTTGTAAAGCTGACATAAACTATTGTGTTACCCCCTTTTTTCTTATCTTCTCTTCACTTCAGAGGTCCTGGGTAGTTAGCAACTTTTGGATATTTTCTCCAGGTGATGCTGGTGTGTTGGGAAATGAACAGGCAGATAGACTGGCTGGCTATGAACTCTTTGGTGGTGAATTGATGTATTGTATGACAAACTAGATATTGTTCCTTTTGAGAATGAGTGAACAGTGCAGATGTGAAGATAGATCAATACGGTCTGATGAGAATGGCGCTGCGAGGAGTTAAAGGGAATATGGACAACGCTCAACACTGTGAGGAAAGATGAGACTGATATACAATCAGACGGCTACTGGTGCCATGGGACTCTTCGCTTGCTGCTGAAGATGGGGATGGATTATTTTTAAATGCGTCCCATTTTGGGGAGTCTGTGCCGTGCTATTATACAGGCAGGCAGAACTCACATCAAACCTCTAAAAAGCAAAGCAGGTCGATTTTCTTACATAAAGCCGCTGCAACATTCCAAAGGTTGGACAAAGTTATCACCCTTAAAGTCCAAAGTCATTGCCACAGAGTCTCAAGTCAAGTCGCCAAGAATACTTCCAAGTCAAGTTGCTTCAGGTATCAAATCAATTGCAAGCCGTGCAGGGGAAAGTGCTTATGAATTAAACTAGGTAATTTGTTATAATACCAAAACTCCCTGTGTGGGTTTCGGGGCCCTATTAAAGGAAAACAAGAATAGACCCACTGCCTACCCAAAAGCATGTCGCAAGAGTCGACTAATTGGGAGCTTCCTTTGAAGTCGGAGTGCATCTGCCTGAGAGGCAAGGAACCAAGAGTCTGCATACAAATGAGTCAGATCTGTTAAACGGATGCACACACAACACTCAGGTTCTGGAACAGGACTGCAGTCCAGAATTGGACGAACAACCTGAACTTTCCGCCGGAGTTACCAGCCGGTGAATGCAAAGAAGAAGAAGAAGACAATACCAAAAAAACAGCCAACAATTGTTAGATGTTGATTTTGTATGTAAATAGTTGAACTATATGCATAAAGAAGGCATTTATTTGTTGTTGTAACATATTTGCAGAAAACTTAAAAGTTGTCACATTACACAATTTTTTTTCTTTTAGTCACCAAACCCTATAGTGGCTGGCCACAAAGAACGAGTTATACCAAGTCTTGAAGCTACAAGTCACTGGACAAAACCCCAAGTCGAGTCACAAGTCGTTAATTACACAACTTGAGCGGCATTCCAGTCTAAGTTACACCTCTGGAACATCCGTAACTTATATGCACAGTTAAAACACTTTAAACATAGAAGTCTACAAGATAACACCACTGTAACTTATATGCACAGTTGAAACACTTTAAACATAGAAGTCTACAAGATAACCCTACTGTAACTTATATGCACAGTTGAAACACTTTAAACATAGAAGTCTACAAGATAACACCACTGTAACTTATTTGCACAGTTGAAACACTTTAAACACAGAATTCTACAAGATAACACCACTGTAACTTATATGCACAGTTTAAACACTTTAAACATAGAAGTCTACAAGACACACCACTGTAACTTATATGCACAGTTGAAACACTTTAAACATAGAAGTCTACAAGATAAAACCACTGTAACTTATATGCACAGTTGAAACATTTTAAACACAGAAGTCTACAAGATAACACCATATATGACATAGAAACTTTTAATGCTTGAAGAATTCAAGTTCAATGATCACTGATTGAAATATTTACTGTATTCACTTATATCTATGCTTTCACCAAAGTCCTCAATTTTTTCCAGTTTTTGCTTTGGCTTTCTGCTGAGTAACACTTGCCTCTTCTCTGCCTCCGATAACTTTGAAAAGTCGACGGGTAACTGAAAGGATGAATAAATTAACTAAACAATCAATTTCACCTTTAAAAAAAAAAAACACACAAATTTGTACACATTTTGGCCACTTTAGTAACAACAAAAATAATAGGTGTACTCAAAACCATAATCACCAACAAGTGTCTTGCCAAGTGAGGTGGGCTGTCCTATCACTATTATTACAATCCATTGTTTACTTTTTATTGTGTATGCATTCGGCAGGTTTTGTATTATAAAGTCACTGACTTTTTTCTAAATATTTCCATATCTGGTTTCATACTGTGCAGTGAGGAGGCATGGGGCTCACAGCGATGGAAAGTGTGACTAGCAAGCCTGTGTTATGAACGTCTTCCACAATTATAGCATGGGGTTTCTTCTCAGACGCTCAGCTCTCATCCTTTTTGTGTTATTTTGTCCTTTATTTTCATTCCCTTCCTGATGTGCCCTTTCAACGCAACACGGTTCATGGCATGTTGTTTTCACAAGTTCACCACAATACCTGTATCATTCATGGCTTTCACACATCTTTATACCATAGTAGAGGTCAGCCTTGACATCTTCTACCTATCTGTAGCTCATCATAGAGGATGTCCTTAAGGAGGACTCTGCCATCCTCCATTCTTCAGGTGTGACCTAGCCACCTCAGTTTTTGTAAACTAAGCACTGAGAAAACTGTTGTAACACCTGCTGTTTCCAATACCTCAGTGTTTGTGATCTTGTCTTACTCAATAATAAAATACAGGCCCTCAAATACCACAGGTCAAGCATTCCTATCCTCACATATCACCTGTAGTGTTTTTCATGCCTTTCCAAGTTACTAATTTCTATGCATATCTACTTCTCCTCTGTGTTTCTGAATCTGCCTTTCATGTGTAGGTTCTAAACCCCTGCCTTTCCAACATGCATGTCGTAGGAATCAACCAACTGGGAGCCTCCTTTGGTGTGCATCTACCTGAGCGGCAAGGGACAACCAACTGCCCACAAATAAACCAGTAAAACGGATGTATACACAAAACTCAGTCCCTGGCACAAAGCCAAAGTCCAACTTAAAGAAAAACAACGGCTTTCCAACAGAGCTTACAGCCGGAGAACAAAGAAAAAGCAGAAAAACAGGTCTATATTTCTTTACCAACGGCAGTAGCATAGAAGAAACTCCATATTTTTTATAGACTCTATATTATTTCAATTATAATAAATATTGCAAAGTAACCTCGGTTGTGTCCTTATCTCCATGCAATAGAGGGGTCAGTGTGTTCTAATGACCCCAAGAGCTATGCTGGCAGTAGTTTAGTTTCCCTGTGTGTATTTTTGAGGCCCTATTGTGGGGAACAACAAAAACAGACCCACTGCCTCCCCAACAAGCAAGATGTAGGAGTCGACGATTGGAGGCATCCTTCGATTTTGGAGTACATCTGCCTGAGAGGTAGGGAATCAAAGTCTACATACATATAAGCCCGATCTGTGAAACAGATGTGCGCTCAAGTTCTGGAACAAGTCCAGAGGTGGATAAACACCCAGAACTTTCCGCCATCTTTTATTACAGCTTGGGAACGCCAGCATCATTCTGAGCCCCTGAGGTTCACTGCTGCAGACTTCGCCTGCTTCCATTGGTCTTTCTCACTGGCCTTCTCTTTGTGGCCGGTGACACTAAGTATTTGTCCATAACATTTGTTTGTAAGTAAAGGACTCTTTCCCCACCAAGTGCATACAGGGCTAGACCGATATTTTGTAGACCGATCTGGACTTGGTGGTTGATGTGGTCAGCACCACATTGCCGTCTTTACTTTCCAGGCACTTATTCAAAGCTTGGTCGACTTGGGAGCAAATGTCATTTTTAAAAAAAGTCAGGTACGCCAGGACCCAAACTCGTGACCTTTAATTATTTTGTGTATGCTGTATTCATCTTTATTATCTGACATTCTCTAACTACCATGAACATGCAGTCTAATAGCCCTCCTGATGCCACAAATTAGTCGTGATTTAAAGAGATGATAAGTTTGGTAAGTTTTTCTTCTGATTGTATTTCTTCTTGTGGTATACCAAGGCAGTTTATGTTTGATGCTAAAGACAAATGAACAGTAAATATTACTAAAGAACTGCAACATTATACAAGTCAAGAGAAATAAATACAAACAAAGAGGTCCCTGTGGGCGTTCCAGGGCCCCATTATGGAAAAAAAAACAAAATGCTGGAAACACACTAAGCTTGAAAATGGATAAGGCAGGGGAACTGGCAAGAGGCTGAGCGGCATTTTTATGAACCATGGATACACACACACACATATATATATATATATATATATATATATATATATATATATATTAAACACATACACATCAGATGCAATTTATTATCAATCTTAAAATACCTTGACAATTTTGCGAGGGTCCCTGTATTGGATATTTAACGTACTACCGTCAGGAAATACTAGAACGGTTGGATACAGCCTTGGGTATACAGATCTTTTAACTGTGGTAACTGCAATAGCAGTCGATGTGTTTCTAATGCATGACAGAAACTCTGTGGTTGGCGTTCGTGCAGTAGATAAAAAAGCAAACCCTGAAGGCATAAAACATCTGAGGACAAAAAAAAAGTTGTAAGATAAAAAGTAAAATACATAAACTCACTGACAATGTGTTCACACACCTGTGCACATGGGAGCTCTGATTTAGTGCATTTAATTTGTAAATAAATAGTTGTAACAAATCACTTGGAAAGGTCAAAGTCGAGAGGCTCGACTTCTTTTATTGGTTATCACCCTATATTGCTCGGTGTCTCCACAGAACAGCTATATGACTTGTAAGAAGAACACAAAGGGACAAGGCAGTCATGCCAATGACATATTCATAATATTGTACAAATGAAGAATTGGGATAGATCATTTAAAAAAGAAAAAAAGCATACCGTGTTGAGGAACCATGTGTAATGAAATACTGTGTAAATGAGTTGCTGGAATAGATGACCAATAGATCAATAAAAGAAAAAAACGCTAAGTGACGAGGCAGCTGAGTGTCTTAGATGTGTAATTATTTGAAATAAATTAAAATATTGCATTACTGCGTTACTGTTACTCAAATGGTAATCATAGATGTTCAGGCTCACTCTGATTTTACTTTGCTTGGGCTTGGACCCTCTGGACTGTGATTATCTTCGTTTTCAAAATGTTGGCCCCTGAGTAAACTTAATTGAATAGCCCTACTATATACTAACTGAGAACGTATCATATCTAAATTTTAAAAAATGTAAATGTTTGTTTGTGACTAATCAATAATCTATGAAAGTTCTTAACTGACTGCTTTGAAATTTTTACACAACATTGCATTCGAATACACACTTTTTTTCCCAAAGCACAGGAGTGTCGCACAAAGTACAAACTACATAGCTCTATAGCAAGGATCACATCCCCATTTTGGTTTTGTTTTCCGACGATTCAATTTGTTTCGGTGCCACAATCCTGGCACAGGTTTTTTCATTTTCGCTGGTAAGCAAACTTTGATTGCTGACCTCAGAAATGAAGCTTTCATTTTGGGGACGAAGAGTAATTGAAAGAATGTATGGCTGACTGACTGACTTTCTACCCCACCAGGACATCAAACAAGCGATAAATACCCGATGACACAAAGTGCCACCATGTGGATGAGGATCACTGTGGAGAGGTCCCAGAAACCGCGTTCAGCCAATTGGCCATATTTATGGCCTGGCTATATTGCGGCCCCTGGCAAGAGCCAGAGTAGGGCTTTAAATAACGAAAAATTTCATCCTAAAAAGGACGAGAAATACTGATGTTAGTAATAAAAAAATGTATGGAAATGTAAAGGCGTGGGAATAAAAACAAGTTGGAATTAAAAATTGTGGGAATAAAAAGCGAGTTTTTAAAAGACTGTATGGGAATAAAAAGATATGGGAATGAGAGATTAGTGATATGTGAGGACGGGACTATCATCAGAGCATTCCAGACAGATCCATAGATTCTCAGATCCTTTCTTGATAACTCCACAAGTGCAAAACCACTAATCTGTGGTGATTGATCAGTCGACTCTTGCCCTTGGTGAAATATTATTGTCTGGCTACTCTAGGCTGCACTCCCATATCCATAACCCTCAACACGATCTTCTTTGCGATGACTACTGCCTATGTCAGGGAAGTCACAGTAACCAACCGCTTTGCCCGCAAGATTAATCTTCTCATAGCAGCAGCAGTGGTAGTAGTAGCAGGTTAGCAGTAGTAGTTATTGTACTTGGCCGGGTGGTTATAATGTCAGGATGTCATGCGGGTAACTCTAGTTCGACCCCCGGTAAGGTGATGGAGTTTTTCTGTCAAGGGCAAAACCAAACATCCTAACCTGAACAGTCCCTGGTGACAGCACTAGTTATGTGGCTATACATTCTTAGGCTTACGACCCCCTGTCTACACCGAATAAAAAAAGGTGGTAAAACAGATAGTAGTGACAGTTTTTTTAGTTGTTGTTGTAGTGGTAGTAGTAGTACTGGTACTCGATGGGGGAAGTGGTAAATATTTTACTGGCCGCAGTTACTTCTCATTAAAATTCTTGCTACCCATCTTAGTCTGTGTGGACACAGATGCCAAGGTCAATTTGGAACAAAAATATCATCAAGTGGTGAATTTCAAATCCTTCGGAGAGGGAGAAAGTAGTCGGTTGATTGGTGGTGGTGGTGTGTGTGTGTGGGGGGGGGGGGGGGGGTGATGACAGAAACTGTTAAGAGCTTAAAACATAATTTTAAAGTTGTCATTTTGTTGACTATTTATATTTTCATAATGCTATCTCAGCGCTATTATATTTTTTTTGGAGCAAATTTGTTGGTTATTCAAAAGTACAGTTGGTAAGCTTTACTTTTAGCTGTTTAAAAAAAAAAAAAAGCAAGAACATGTTATAAACAAATAAACATTTTTTAAAGTCTTAATTTAATAATACAATTTAAACGACCAAAATATATAAAGACACAATTATATGTTGCGTGTTCTAGAGTCTCCAAACAAGACTATCTCTATATCTGCGCAGACAATGATTATGAAATTAAACACATTAGATACATGCTCTTTCTATTTTCTTTCTTTTCCATTTAGCCAGACTGAGCCACAGCGACATGTGACTGGATACAGCTAGTAATTAAGTAAAAATAAATGACCTTAGAATCTTTCTTCTGTCCATTTTCTGCTTTGTGCCGATCGACCTCACAGGTTAACAGATGCTCGTTTTACTGAGACATGGTAAGCTTGGTTGCCAGATATGCTGTGATGTTGTGTCAAGATATCAGTGACTCCTTCAATCCATCTTCTTCATGGTTATCCCCTACATCTTTGGTTTCTACCTGATGTACGCTCTTGTTGCTGGCATCATTAGATTCATTCTCATTAAATGACCAAATAATTTCAGTCTGTGTTTTCAATGAATCTAATTATAGGCATTGTTCCAATAGTTTTGTCATTTCTTCATTTCTCACATGATCTCTTATAGTTTTGTTTAGGGCCTTACTCAAAAATTTAATTTCACAGATGGTTAATTTTCTTTTATCATCTTCAGTCAGTGTCAAAATTAACAGTCACATTGCAGTAACACCAGACTGAGTATGAGAATCTGTGACTGTACCAGTACACATAACATGGTAATGCAGCCAAGCATATGTTACCACAATATCCAGCTTAAGAATACAGGTGGAGGTGGTCACTGCAGTTTTCTACTGGCTAGAGAACACGATACACACACATACATCATGATGGTAACAGATACAGTACATCATGATGGTAACAGATACAGTACATCATGATGGTAACAGATACAGTACATCATGATGGTAACAGATACAGTACATCATGATGGTAACAGATACAGTACATCATGATGGTAACAGATACAGTACATCATAATGGTAACAGATACAGTACATCATGATGGTAACAGATACAGTACATCATGATGGTAACAGATACAGTACATCATGATGGTAACAGATACAGTACATCATGATGGTAACAGATACAGTACATCATGATGGTAACAGATACAGTACATCATGATGGTAACAGATACAGTACATCATGATGGTAACAGATACAGTACATCATGATGGTAACAGATACAGGACATCATGATGGTAACAGATACAGTACATCATGATGGTAACAGATACAGTACATCATGATGGTAACAGATACAGGACATCATGATGGTAACAGATACAGTACATCATGATGGTAACAGATACAGAAATTATGCTCAGGAAGGTGAGGACAGGCATGCTGCATGCAGAGAGGCATGCTTCGCTTCGAAGGTCACGGGTTAAGAGCACTGCCTAGATCTTTTTTCTGGGTCATGGAGGTGTGGTAGGAAGTGAACAGGCAGACAGATTGGCTCGTTCTGCACAACTTAGTGTAATACTGATGCATGATAGGGCAGACATGGTTACGCCTTTTGGGAAAACGTGTACAATTCAGAACAGCAAATTGATCATCACAGTCTGGTGAGAGTGATGCAGCAAGGAGTGACAAGGGGAAATGGCAGATACTTGACGCTCAAAGGAAAGACAAGATGGACGTATAATCAGACTGCGACTAGTAGCATTGGTATTGAAACTCTGCATTGGTTGCTGAAGATGGGCAGGGAGCACTTACTGGAATGCCCTGAGTGCTGTTATGCCAGTTCTTGAATCAACTCAGATTAGTCAATATCAAAAGTCTGACACTGGTGTGAAGATCGTATTTATTGGCTTTCTTCCGAATAACGGTCCCAAATTATCAAGGACGAAAATATACCCTAACAGGATCTCAGTCACATGTAAATTGCGGACTTCTGCCACAGCCGAGAGTATTTCCCACGCCGCTACGTGCGGCATGGAGTGGAGCTAAACTAGATGGCTGGGACTCATGAGCAAATAAAATGAAGCTGCAGGAGATATGGTAGCTGCTGCTCGTGAGTCCCAGCCATCTAGTCCACAATTTACATGTGACTGAGGCCCTGTTAGGGTATATGTATAGTTTTTACTTCTTTGTCAGTCTTTTTAACATGTGGGCTCTAAAAATTACAGTGTATTCAGATAAATTCTTTTAACAGACAGTATAGGGTCGTGGACAGCTAGTACTAGTAGTCCAGTTATTTGGAAGCTGCAGCAGATATGAAACTTTTACAAATGATGAGAATCCATGGACAAATTTAAAAAAAACAGTAAAGTCTTGAAAGAAACTAACTCACGAAGAGAACTGATTGGCCACATCAGAAAGAGACAATCTACATTCCTTGGTCATGTTATGAGAAAGAGAAAACAAGGGTACAGGGTACAATACAGTACATGAGTGAGTGGGAGTAGGAAAGTTGGATGGGAGGAGGAGAGGCAGGGGCAGATCGACATCGAGAGAAATGAAAAGATGCTGGACAGTTTGACATCAAGGCATGATGGATCCTCTGTGTCAGCATTGATTTGAAAGTACATGAAACGGAAGGCTATGGAGAAACATGACTACCAACGCCACACGCATAGATTTTAAGAAGAAGATTGAGTCACCTTGATTGACTGGAATGCCTTACCTCAGAACACGAATGGGGGCGGCCATTTTGAGCAACAAATTTGACAGTGGTTACCCTTGAGTAAGTCACATGACATCTGCTCACATGACCAAGTTTGCTTTGTATTAATGTTTGTGACTTCCTACAAGTCGATGATCTATCTGCGCGTGTTTTACAGCATACTTTTCTCATGAATCTGAGTCTGGAAATACGTTTTCACAGAGAAATAATAATTTTGTTAGCCGCATACGATTTAAGTCACAGTAACGAAATGTTCTCTTCTTTTAGGACATAGTATAAAATTCACTGAATCATTCTATGCACTCAGGTATTATTATTAATTATTCAACTTGAACCAACAACAACAAAGAACAATGATAATAATATAACGATAACCACTAACACTGAATCGAAACCATAGCAGCTAGAAATTGGACATTAAAATACATACTGAGATAAAATATTAATAATAACAGATACTGTATATAAATAATAATAAACGTACTCCGCGCCTGTCCTTCTGGAAACTTTAGTCCACATTGACATATATCTGTTTCAGTACAGTCACAATCTTGCGACTGCCCGTAACAGTCAAAAAAAAATAATGCGATTAAGCTCGTAACCGTTTTTGGTTAAAAAAAATTGTGGGATCGATGACTACTGACACAGCGCACTGTCACCTTACTAAGGTCTAATGTTATCTGTGCAACAATAGAGATATCATTTTGTGGACAGTACATTTTAATAGTAGACAACGGAAACTAGGCTAATAATGGCAGCAGTGTCACTCACTAAGTGGTTAAATACAATAGATTGGAGAGCACAGTTTCTGATGATTGTGTTGATGCTTGGAAGTACGATTGCAGCTCAAGGTAATTGACTGGTTGTTATGTTATCATTCATATCTTATATACTAATATAGATGTCTTTAAATTTAGAGGGACAGAGTAAAATTATAAACCATGTTAATATTAGATAAGAGAACTACATACACAGAGGATTAGGTTAAAAATATCATTCCATCCTGCTGCGGTCACAGATTTGATGAGCAGGCTACCTCATTTATTTGCGAGACCATCGGCTCCCAAAAAATAAACATTTATGGATGCAAGAAGGTAGACTCTCATATTGGCCAGAAATAATGCTTCAAAAACATGTTAAAGGCATCACTGAAAGCACTCACTATAAACACTGACACCTGTGTGGGCTACACAAGGCTGGACTAAATGGCAATGGTCTATCCAACTTGAGCCTTTAATTAAATGTCACTCCAAGATAAGTGGAAAAGCATTATTTCTTTAGCAAGGATGTTCCTGGGTGAATACTAGCAGCTTTGTCCCTGGGGGAAAGGGAGAAAAGCATTATGGATGGTTTGTCTGTGTTGATGGCAACATGCAACTTTTCTGCCTATGTGATTAAGAGATTTGTTGCTCACTGCATTCTTACATTTGCCACTGTGATGTGTTCATCACTTCACCAGAGTGCATGATCATCTGCATACTGTTTGGCAGCCTTCACTCCTGCAGGGAGATCTTCACCAGGTCATTGATATAGACAAGAAAGGGAGTTGGAAAGATAACTCCTCTGTGTTCTACCCCTTAATAAAGCAGTACTTTTCTGCTCTGCAAGCCATCAATAGTGACTCTAGTTTTTCCTTGGGATTTGATCCCTGCTTAGCATGTTTCCTTGGATTCCACTTTCTCTTCAGTTTTGCAGTGAGGCCATCTTTTCACACTTTGTTGAAAGCTTATTTGAAGTTGACTAACATGCCAGGCTTTTTTTTCTCTCTTGAAAGGCATCTTCTATAGCTTGTGACTGTCTTCTATGCTGTAACTTTCTCTAAATCCAACCTGCTCTAACACACATGATCTGCTTAGATTCTAAGTGCCATTTCAGTCTTAGGATTGATAATTCTCTCCATCATCTTTTCTACACAACTTGTGAGGCTAATTGGTCAATAGCTCAAAGCCTGAGTCCTAATTTTTAATATGCTTCTCTCCATACTTGAGGCACCAAACCTTTCTCCCAGCTGATGTTGAAAATTTCTAGCAGCTTTACTTTAGCAGCTGAGTACAGATTGATCAACATTTCATTGCAGTTTTCATCTGGACCTGCAGACTATTTTAACTTGAGCCTGGAAATGGCATTTTGAAGTTCACCCATGGTGAGGTGGCACCTTCACTTAGTGTGATTTGTCTAGGAGATAAACATTCTTCATTGAGGGATTTAGCTAATCTATAGAGTTTCTTGTCATCTTTCTCAAGGTTAAGCTGCTGTTTTATTTCTCCAGTTTTATTTTCCTTTTCTTCCAGCTTAGTTCTCTAGAACACTGCTACATTCTTTTCCAATTTGATGTGGCTGTCAGGTGAAGGTTGGGATTCTTCATTCTTTCTAGCCCAGTTCATGTTTCCAGACATTCCTGGAGTTTGCTGGACCAGTAAGGTCTGTTGTGTTGTACTCTTTAATGCTGTGATGTTGAATCTTTACCTAGATGAACCCTGGGTGCTAAGCTAGGATGAGCATACTATCCTGCGCTGGAAATGGGACACACAAAGCAAACCCCCAACCCCCAGTTTAAAAAGTTATAGAATTTATTCATATTTATTATTATTAGTAATAATTAAAGAACTAATGCAATTTAAGATCATGAGAATATAATCATATCTAAAACCATGAAATCTAATCAGATCTACATACAGGTGTAAATGATATGTTCTGCTCTCAAGCTTATTACTTTGAAAAGCCCCAGTTAGTTGACTCCCACAACATGCTTTTTTGGCAAGGCAGTGGGTCTGTTCTTCTTTTTCTCACAATTAGGCCCTTCAACCCACACAGGGAAAATAATATTTTATTACTTAACATAATAAAAATATTTAAAATTAACATCTTAGTTGTTTACCATGAAACGATTTCAGTCCAAGGAAGAAGTAGATCTAATCAGTTTCAGATTACCAGAGTCACAAATGACAGGTGAACATTGCAGCTAGAAAGCCTTCATCAGCATATGCCATAAATATACAGTGATATAGCTACAAACAAGAATTAACATGATCACTTATCTGTAAGTTGAGATCTCTCACAGGAATATCCAAAACATGTTTTGGCTTAGTTAGTGAAAGGTCACAAATAGATTATTGTTAACTTCACCAGAGGGAATGTTAAAAATAAAGATTGTCAACATGATATCAAACAGATTATCTGTCCTTATCGAGTGCCAGTAGGTCTAAAATAATCATGGACTTATCAACCAGTGTACCATATAAATATAGAATATGATCTTTTTGTTGTTATTTATTTGTGATGAAATGAACTATTTCTTTAACATACAGGTGTAAATGTGACAGTGAGATTCTCAGATGACAGTGTTGATGTCGAGATTGGAGCCAGGAAAAATATCACATTGTCTCTCAGGTTTGAAATAGTATTTCTTTTCCCCCTGAAATTTAAAGTTCCTTTAAAAAAAATATTCAAGAAGAAAAATGGATCAACTTCATTGTACAAGATTTTATTCAACATGTCTTGATCTATCCACTAAGTGGTTGTTCTTCTGCACAATGAATTTTCTGCTTAGCCTTCACTGGTTGTAAACTCCAATGAAAAGTTCTGGTTGTTCATCCACTTCTGGATTTTGGTCTTGTTCCAGAACTAGAATTTTGCATTTCATGCACATCCATTTTACGGATGTCCCTTTATTTACATGCAGACTGTTGGTTCCTTGCCTCTGAGGCAGATGCACCCTGACTTAAAAGGAAATCATCCAGTTAGTTGTCTTTTACGACATGCTTTTTTAATGGGTCTGTTCTTTTATTACCCTATAATGGAACACAGGGAACACAAAGTGTCTATCTACAATACCAAAAAAGTGAGGACACAGATAATATATTAGTCAATTTATTGCTAGGCATATTTCTGTGTATTTGGTCAGCTGCATGAGTTCGATTAACTGAAAACCACATATGACATTGTCTTTTGGCAAAATGCATATCAAACCAATACAGTTGGGACAGCAGTACCACGATACCCAAGCAAAAGAATAACACGGTTAATCTTAGGCTACCTTAGTACAGTGTGCTGTTTAACAAGAGACAATATGATTCGGGTATTTCAATACTTTTTGTCCATATCTACATCCTAGCACATCTGTCTGACCCGTTCTTGCTCCATCCTCTGATGCAGAAGCCATCTCAGTGTCTTCATGCTCATCATACCCAGTAGGAGCTGACTGGCTTATCTTCTTCTTTTGCTTGTTCTCGTTTGTTATAATTTCCAACAGGTTGTTCATCATCTCTGACTCTTTTGTCTCTGGCATGCAGCGCATTTAGTATTTCTGCCCTGTCCATACTTTTTCCTCCACTAACCATTGCAGACAGGACCAGTCTGTCAGCTGTTTTGTTTCCTTTCACCCCACCATTTATACAACTAAGATAGTTTCTTGAGGCAGGATCTCTGGATGCTGTCAGCCCAATTAGTTAGAGTTTACTAGTTTTGGATCTTCTTAAGCATTCTTACTGAGTCTTGTAACTACCAGTGTGTGAGTTGCTTTCTGTTCTCACTGCCCCTTAATTCTAGTCAGAGTTTGCTAGTTTTGGATCTTCTTAATCATTCTTACTGAGTCCGTCACTACCAGTGTGTGAGTTGCTTTCTGTTGTCACTGTCCCTTCATTCTAGTCAGAGTTTGCTAGTTTTGGATCTTCTTAATCATTCTTACTGGGTCCGTCACTACCAGTATGTGAGTTGCTTTTTGTTCTTACTGCCCCTTTATTCTAGTCAGAGTTTGCTAGTTTTGGATCTTCTTAAGCATTCTTACCGAGTCCGTCACTACCAGTGTGTGAATTGCTTTCTGTTGTCACTGCCCCTTCGGGCGCGCATTCCACCACACCCAACCACCCAAGAAGCATGTTGACAAGGTGACTAATTGAAGATGTTTTTTGTCAGAATGTCTGTGCTTGAGAGGCAAAGAACTGGTAATCTGCATAAAAATAAGTCAGAACTGCAAAACAGACAAGTACACAGAACTCAAGTTCTGGAACAGGACCAAAGTCCAGAG